GGAAGGTCTCTACACTACTGGTAAGGCCTATAAACAGGGGGATCTAAAGCAGAGGAGAGGAAAAGGCAGAGCTAAGACTTCACATGAGGGTGATGAAGGGTTAGAAGTAGGCCTGTTTGATCAAGAAAAAATTTGTTTCTAAAATAGATTTGTAATTGGGGTGTTTTTTTGTTTCGATATTTAAAATAATTACAAAACTTTCCAAAAAAAAGTTTTGGTATTTAAGAAATTTTGTAAATATTAACGAATTTTTAGAATATTTTTGTATTTCTTAAGAATAATATTAAAATAATATTAAAAAATATTTTAAAATGGAAAATTAACCAAAAAATGGCCCAAATGTGGACCAAACACAGGCAGGAGACAGCAAATGAGAGCACACACCAACAGAAGAGTCTTTTCTTTTTTAGAATATTTTTAAAAATAATATTAAAATAATATAAAAAATAATATTAAAAATAATATTAAAAATATTTTAAAATGGAAAATTAACCAAAAAATGGCCCAAATGTGGACCAAACACAGGCAGGAGACAGCAAATGAGAGCACACACCAACAGAAGAGTCTTTTCTTTTTTAGAATATTTTTTAAGAATAATATTAAAATAATATTAAAAAATAATATTAAAATAATATTAAAAATATTTTAAAATGGAAAATTAACCAAAAAATGGCCCAAATGTGGACCAAACACAGGCAGGATACAGAAAATGAGAGCACACACCAACAGAAGAGTCTTTTCTTTTTTAGAATATTTTTTAAGAATAATATTAAAAATAATATTAAAAAATAATATTAAAAATAATATTAAAAATAATATTAAAAATATTTTAAAATGGAAAATTAACCAAAAAATGGCCCAAATGTGGACCAAACACAGGCAAGAGACAGCAAATGAAGCAAGCAGCACTCACAGCAGCAAGGAATGAATCCAATCCCAGTTGCTAGCAGCCATTGCCAAGCCAACCCAATGCAAACTCCCTCGCCCTCTGCAGCAAGCTACGGGCCGCGCGGAGCCGCTTTGAAAGGGCTCGCCGGCCAATCAAAAACAGACAGCCACGGACCCATGGTGCACTGCTTGGGAGCGCCGGATTGGCTCCCAGGCACCAGCACTCCAGCAGCCTCCACCCCATTAACGAAACGAGCGGAGGCTCGTTAAAACTCTGGGGGCTGCTGGTTCGATATTTAAAAACCCTTCCGGGTTTGGTAATATGTTTCAATATCGCTTCGGAAATGCCAAAATTAACGAATTAATAACGAATTAACGAATTAACGAACGAAACCGCACAGGCCTAGTTAGAAGGTATGATCATCAAGTTTGCAGATGACACCAAATTGGGAGGGATAGCCAATACTCCAGAGGACAGGAGCAGAATTCAAAATGATCTTGACAGATTAGAGAGATGGGCCAAAACTAACAAAATGAAGTTCAACAGTGACAAATGCAAGATACTCCACTTTGGCAGAAAAAACGAAATGCAAAGATACAGAATGGGGGACAATGCCTGGCTCGAGAGCAGTATGTGTGAAAAAGATCTTGGAGTCCTCGTGGACAACAAGTTAAACATGAGCCAACAATGTGATGTGGCGGCAAAAAAAGCCAATGGGATTTTGGCCTGAATCAATAGGAGCATAGTGTCTAGATCTAGGGAAGTCATGCTCCCCATGCTCTATTCCGCTTTGGTTAGACCACACCTGGAATATTGTGTCCAATTCTGGGCACACAATTCAAGAGAGATATTGACAAGCTGGAATGTGTCCAGAGGAGGGCGACTCAAATGATCAAGGGTCTGGAGAACAAGCCCTATGAGGAGAGGCTTAAGGAGCTGGGCATCTTTAGCCTGAAGAAGAGAAGGCTGAGAGGAGATATGATAGCCATGTATAAATATGTGAGAGGAAGCCACAGGGAGGAGGGAGCAAGCTTGTTTTCTGCTTCCCTGGAGACTAGGACGCGGAACAATGGCTTCAAACTACAAGAGAGGAGATTCCATCTGAACATGAGGAAGAACTTCCTGACTGTGAGAGCCGTTCAGCAGTGGAACTCTCTGCCCCGGAGTGCGGTGGAGGCTCCTTCTTTGGAAGCTTTTAAACAGAGGCTGGATGGCCATCTGTCAGGGGTGATTTGAATGCAATATTCCTGCTTCTTGGCAGGGGGTTGGACTGGATGGCCCATGAGGTCTCTTCCAACTCTTTAATTCTATGATTCTATGATCCCAAACCTCAAAAAAAAAATTAAGTGTGAGAAACCCTCTTTCTAGCCCTAAGGGGAGCCTTCTTTTTATAGCTCCCCCCAAGTCACAAGACCTAGAGAGACTGCCATGGAAGTTCACTTTTCACCCACAAAGGCGAGTGCCATGATGCCTACCAGGAATATATAATTGTTGAGCACAGGAAGGTGGGTGGAGGGGCAATTCAGCCTCTAGATCTGCCCCACACCACATGACTGCAGCCAGTGAAGCCAACTGGACCCAACCAATGCTGGTCTCCTCCATGGGGGTCTTCAACTACCTCCCCATACCTTATGGGTTTGCCTTTCAGCTGCAGGTGGGGCTTCTGTTTAGCAGTTAGTAACTGTTGGGGATTCATTCTTACAGGCACAAACAGCTAAACATGACCTCCAAAATTACCTTCGCAGTCTGGTAGCACTTCAGCTGAAGTGTGTTTCTGAAGTGCTGGAAACCAGAGACCTGGGATATGATAGTTTCCAATCACAAGATGACTTGGGAAAAGCTTTTGGGGCAGGACCTGAAAAGATCTCTGTGACATGTTATTGGTTTTGCAAGACACACTGCATTAGGGAGAGCAATGCAGAAGCAATTCCCCGCTACTCTGATCTCCAGCACCTCAGAAATCCTTTAGCTGGGGAGTTGCCAAGTAGCAAAGATCGTGTGATCCCTTACAAAGGTTTCATACAATATATATATACCAGTATTATTAAATAATCTACATAAATAAAAATGTAATGTTAGTGGGATTTACAGAACTCAAAAACCACTGGACGAATTGACACCAAATTTGGACACAAGACACCTAACAACCCAATGTATGTCCTTCACTCAAAAAATTGATTTTGTCATTTGGGAGTTGTAGTTGCTGGGATTTATAGTTCACCTACAATCAAAGAGCATTCTGAACTCCACCAATGATGGAATTGGGCCAAACTTAGCACACAGGGCTCCCATGACCAACAGAAAAAACTGGAAAGGTTTGGTGGACATTGACCTTGAGTTTGGGAATTATAGTTCACCCACATCCAGAGAGCACTGTGGACTCAAACAATGATGGATCTGGACCAAACTTGGCATGAATATTCCATATGCCCAAATATGAACACAGATGGAGTTTAAGGGAAATAAATCTTGACATTTGGGAGTTGTGGTTGCTGGGATTTATAGTTCACCTACAATCAAAGAGCATTCTGAACTCCAACCAAACATGGCATACAGGACATCCATGACCAACAGAACACACTGGAAGGGTTTGGTGGGCATTGACCTTGAGTTTGGGAGTTGTAGTTCACCTACATCCAGAGAGCACTGTGGACTCAAACAATGATGGATCTGGACCACAAATATTCCATATGCCCAAATATGAACACAGATGGAGTTTGGGGAAAATAGACCTTGACATTTGGGAGTTGTACTTACTGGGATTTATAGTTCACCTACAATCAAAGAGCATTCTGAACTCCACCAATGATGGAATTGAACCAAACATGGCATACAGGACTTCCATGACCAACAGAACACACTGGAAGGGTTTGGTGGGCATTGACCTTGAGTTTGGGAGTTGTAGTTCACCTACATCCAGAGAGCACTGTGGACTCAAACAATGATGGATCTGGACCAAACTTGACACAAAAATTCCATATGCCTACATATGAACACAGATGGAGTTTGGAGGAAATAGACCTTGACATTTGGGATTTGTAGTTACTGGGATTTATAGTTCACTACAATTAAAGAGCATTCTGAAACCCACAAACAACAGAAATGGGGCAAACTTCCCACACAGAACCCCCATGACCAACAGAAAATACTTAAGGCCATCCAGTCCAACTCTCTTCACCAGGGCAAGAAAATGTAATCAGAGCCCTCCTGACAAAGAGCCATCCAGTCATAAATATAGATAGATAGATATGATTCTCTCTCACAGAGAGAAATATAGTATCATAGATTTGAAAGGGACCCTTAAAGAAGGACAATGATATGTTGCATGTTCCAGAGTAGGCAAACCAGCCACTCTCCACATCAACACTGACAAAGAAACAGCAAGAAATACTGTTTACCCACAAGCATAAAGAATTTACATATATTAGAAACCAACACTTTTCATTACTTTATTTTCCAGATCACCAGACTGGGCCACAGCAACGCATGGCAGGGGACAGCTAGTGTATAATATATATATATATAAGTTTCAAATATTGCATAGTGCATAAACAAGGTTTGGATTTTTTTTTCATTTACACTTATGTTCTACAGTTTATTCTTGTGTAGTTTTGCTCTATAGTCGCACCATGTGGTTCATTACAAGTGTCATTGTCAACAGATTTTCTTTTCTTAATTAGAAACTTTTAGTGGCATTTACTGCAACTCAATCAACAAATTGTGCAAATTATAAAAGTTATAACAATACATACACTTGAATAGCACCCTAGAGGTGTCACATGTTTCACGCGACACATCTAGGGAGTACAAGCAACACTAGTTGGAAAGCTCTGCTGTAAACCTTGTATTTTCCATTAGATACCTAAAGAATGTTAAAGATTATTTCCTTAACTTCATATGGACTTTAGCCTAGAATAATGGAAATACATTATTAGATGAGCTGCATAGCCCAATTCTCTGAACTGACGCAAGAACAAGAACTAGACAGTCACTGACAGATAACTTTTTCATTTTCATTTCTAATTCCTTAGCTCAATTAATTTACAGCACCCTCTCATTTCACTGTGCCTAATGATTTAATGCTGGAGAAATCCTGGTTGTTTTCACTTACTGATCATAACAGAGACAGTATTCACATTAGGGTTGAAAGAGCAGCGTCCCTTTCCAGATTCACATTTGGAATCTATCTTGAAAACTTGGTCCTGTAACACAGAAAGAAATAGTTGAAGGTGAATTTCAATTTCACTTGTTTGAATGGGATGGTGCCTGGTATGAAGAAATGGTCAAATTAATCAAGGAGTTTTCTTACAATTGGCAAAAGTAGCCCTATATTCCACATATACAACAGAAGTTTTGTTCAATCATAAAGGATAATATGTTTACGGAATTTATCTTTATAATTTCCCTTTGTTGCTGAGACTAAGAAAATATCAGGGATGGCATTTCCTTCACTTTCTGAAATGTTTTGTTTCTTTGAATAATTACCTTTCTTCAGGTATTTTGCTGTGTGTGCAAAATGTCTTTGTTATTTGACCATATGAATTGTGCCTTGATTACCAGATCCCAATGCAAAAATCAAGATGTACTGATGTCCAATGCTAATGTTTAGGGATTTTTTTTTTCTGAGAAAGAAGATATCAGATATCGTCTTGGGACAGCCCTGGCTATTATTGTTGACAATGACTACAGATGTCTAAGCAGAGCTTTCCAGATATTTCATGTTGGTGACACACTTTTTAACTATTTTAACTGTTTATTTTAAATAACATTAATATTTAATTCTATTTTAGTGTTTGTATATTTTGGGGTTGTAAATTGTATAAAACTGGTTGTATTGGAAGCTGCTTTGAATCTTGTTGTAGATAGAAAAAGTGGGGTATAAATAAACATAATAATAATAATGTCAGGTTTTCCTTTATCCTTTTTCCTTTATCTAATTCTTTTTTCAAAAAAGTTCTCTAAAGTAATGGCCATACCCAAATCTTATGGAAGTGATATGTAATCTCAACAATGTATTGTAATGTAATATAGCTGAGTCATGCACTGCTAATGGGCTTCTATTGGAAATGCTGAATCATGCATTAACTGTATATAGGGAATCATTTGGGGAATGTGTTCTGGCCTAGTCCAGGTGATTGTGAATGATGCAATCCTGGGTTTGAGTTGAGTCAATGAGTTGGGAACCAATCGGTGATTGCTATGTGTAAATGAATTGTATATAAGGAAGTCATGTACAGTGTGTATCTCTCCTTGTGCTGTGATGTTGTTCGTCGAAGGCTATATGTAATTAAAAGAACCTGTCTGCTAAGACAAGATATAACTGTGTGTTGTGGTTTGTAATATCATCTAGACTGGGGGAAAGACAATGGTAAAACTGACAATGGCCGGGCATGTGCTCAAGTGTCTGTAAAAGGTTCCAGAGTGACTGCAGACTGTGGAAGCAGTTGACTGAAAATACTGTGCAGGAAGAAGCTACTGGAAAATGCTGAAGTTGTGCAACTGATCTGCTGCTGAATTGTGAAGTTAATCTCAACAAATAATAATAATAATAATAATAATAATAATAATAATAATAATAATAATGTGAGGATATTCTAGGCCCCTGGGAAGAACCTGATATTTAGAGACGAAACACAGACACTTGGACGTAATGTACATGTGTGCTGTGCTGTTATGTACATGCAAATATAATAAAAATAAAACAGCATCCTTTGTCACATGTTTGTTGCATTCAAAAACCTGTTCAAGAATTATAATGCATTTTTCCTTTACCTAATTCTTTTTTCAAAAAGGTTCTCTAAAGTAATGGCCATACCCAAATCTTATGGAAGTGATATGTAAATGTGATTTATTATTTTAATATGTGTTTCCAAAATGATTTTAAGTTTTATTTTATTAATTTTATTTTGGAAAAAGTGGTCAATAACAAGGATACCAGCATGGGTAAAAACGTGTCCCCTGTCACAATTCTGCAATAATACATTGATTTAAATAATAACATTTCACTTATTCTAGCCCAGCTTCGAATTTTAAAAGTTTGCTGTCAATTGATATTCCGAGCAGTGTTTTCTGGCTCAACAAAATCCTGACCTCATAGGGTGGGGGAGAGAATGTATAATTATATAATCATTTCCTTTTCTTTCCTGTTTCACCTGCAAAAATATACAATTTCTTTGTAAAAAGGATGACATGCTGGAAAGTCAAATTAGAGACAGAATTACTATCTTGATAAAGAGCATAATTTCCTATTAATTTTGTAAATGGAATGCCAAGAAATAAATGCATTGTGTTTGGCTAATGTCTACACATCAATGCAATAGGTAAGAGAGGGGACTCACATTAAATCCCTATACTTGAATTGTCTTTGCTATTGTTGGTCTGCACAGTAACAGCAATGAAAACATGAAAATTGTAGTCAAATGTCTAATAGATTCCAGATAGTTGAGATAGCAGTTTATTTGATCAATTGATCTTAAGCATGCGGCTAAAGAGCCTTGCTGAAGCCAATCTTTCTTTTGCCTAATCTTAAAATCCCGCAAAAAAATTTTCTGAAAACTCATCCATGACATGTGCGTGGCAACAAACCTAAAAGCTTAAAACATTAATCTGGTTATTCTGCACATGAGTTTGCTGATGAATATTTCCAATACTTGTTTTAAATGATTCCAGCCATGAAAGCCTTCTGCAATACATTTCCAGGACTTGTTTTCAGAATTTATCCTACACCGTTAAAAGTACAGTGTTCCCTTACTACTTTGTGGTTCGCTTTTCACGGACTCACTGTTTCGCAGGTTTTTGCCTCCCAGTTTATGAATGGTTGTCATTGCCGAGAGCAGCATTCTAATCCTGCCTCCTGGCAATGATGGAGTGTGGAAGGGGGTTTAAAGGGTGAGAGGTAGCCAATCAAGAGAGATTGAAAGCAAAGCAGAGACTGCTAGCAAAAAGAAGTGCGTGGTGCCTTTAAATCTCTCCTCAATTCTGCCTCACCCTCGGAACACGATATACATATATAGCATCCCTATTTCGCGGATTTTCACTTTTTGCGAGTGGTTCTAAAGCTTAACACCCACAATAAGTGAGGAAACACTGCAGTTTAAATTTTAACAGGGAAAAGAATGATATAATTTTAATTTTTTAATCTCCCATTTGAACTCCATCTTTGTTTCTGGCCATTTTTTAAAGAATGCTGAAGAAGGTACTGAGTACCTACAAGCTGGATAGATGCGAGGAATGCCGTGGATGTAGCGTACCTGGATTTCAGTAAGGCCTTCGACAAGGTCCCCCATGACCTTCTGGCAAACAAACTAGTCCAATGTGGGCTAGGCAAAACTACGGTGAGGTGGATCTGTAATTGGTTAAATGGACGAACCCAGAGGGTGATCACCAATGCTTCCTCTTCATCCTGGAAAGAAGTGACAAGTGGAGTGTCGCAGGGTTACGTCCTGGGCCCAGTCCTGTTCAACATCTTTATTAATGACTTAGATGAAGGGCTAGAAGGCAGGATCATCAAGTTTGCAGACGACACCAAATTGGGAGGGATAGCCAATACTCCAGGGGACAGGAGCAGAATTCAAAACGATCTTGACAGATTAGAGAGATGGGCCAAAACTAACAAAATGAAGTTCAACAGTGACAAATGCAAGATACTCCACTTAGGCAGAAAAAACGAAATGCAAAGATACAGAATGGGGGACAATGCCTGGCTTGAGAGCAGTACGTGTGAAAAAGATCTTGGAGTCCTCGTGGACAACAAGTTAAACATGAGCCAACAATGTGATGTGGCGGCAAAAAAAGCCAATGGGATTTTGGCCTGCATCAAGATGAGCATAGTGTCTAGATCTAGGGAAGTAATGCTACCCCTCTATTCTGCTTTGGTTAGACCACACCTGGAATATTGTGTCCAATTCTGGGCACCACAATTCAAGAGATATTGACAAGCTGGAATGTGTCCAGAGGAGGGCGACTAAAATGATCAAGGGTCTGGAGAACAAGCCCTATGAGGAGCGGCTTAAGGAGCTGGGCATGTTTAGCCTGAAGAAGAGAAGGCTGAGAGGAGATATGATAGCCATGTATAAATATGTGAGAGGAAGCCACAGGGAGGAGGGAGCAAGCTTGTTTTCTGCTTCCTTGGAGACTAGGACGCGGAACAATGGCTTCAAACTACAAGAGAGGAGATTCCATCTGAACATGAGGAAGAATTTCCTGACTGTGAGAGCCGTTCAGCAGTGGAACTCTCTGCCCCGGAGTGTGGTGGAGGCTCCTTCTTTGGAAGCTTTTAAACAGAGGCTGGATGGCCATCTGTCAGGGGTGATTTGAATGCAATATTCCTGCTTCTTGGCAGAATGGGGTTGGACTGGATGGCCCATGAGGTCTCTTCCAACTCTTTGATTCTATGATTCTACTGAGTCGCCTGAGGCGTATCATGGTATGATGTTGGACTATGACTTCGTGAAACCAAGAACTGAACCCAGCTGAGGCATGGTAACCAAGCAAGTTACCTAAAGCCAACCATACACTCTAAGAGTGAACTTTCTCTGGAAAAGATCTTGCCAAGAGAGATGGGGAAAACAAATGGAAGACATTGCTTCATCATATCGAAGCCCAGAAGTAGATAAAAGGTCTTCTCTTCATCTCAATTGACACTAGCCTCCTGGACTTAAGTTTCTCCTACACTGCCATCATGTGTGTCATGACTTTATATTGTATGCCCATGAACAGGAAACTACTTTTCTCGTTATTATTCTTATAAAGCTTGTACAGTGTTGGTGCTACGTAAATAGACGATAAGTTAACTGAGAAAGGAGTGAAAATAGTTGTAGGTGTTAAGGAAAAAGGGATCAACTTTAATTGCAGCATGAGGCAGGCCTGTGGGGATGAGGGCTTTTCCTGAACAGAGAGTCTCCTGAACAGAGAGCCTCCGTGGGAGCCTGCTGTGCACACGCACTCACTGCTGGCCATGCACGTGCACTCCTTCCCTCCCCCTCCCTCCCTGAGGGTTACGGTTGGACGTCTTTCTGAGGGGTGAGGGGAGGAGGGAGGGGAAGTGGGTTTTTTGGGGGGTTTTGTGAGTGGAGGACATAGCTTGCTTGAGATAGTGTCTAGTGTCCAAATTTGGTGCCAATTCCCCCAGTGGTTTTTGAGTTCTGATGGTATCACAAACGAACATTACATTTTTATTTATATAGATTACACTTCTTCTGATCTGAGGTATGGTGGGAGGGTTCTGGTTGATTGGTTTTATTAATGTAGCCCAGCATCATTATACTCAGGTCACATCAACTCAAACTCTGACTATGGGCCTACAGAAAGCACTGATGGAAGGTGGTGAGCACTAGATATTGTGCAATATAGACATGTCCCTTTCCCACACAATCATTTTTGAATAGCAGGAAAATGTTTGTCTTGTAATGCTCTTAGTAAAGCTGCCACATAGGAAAATCTGATTAATAATGTACCATATTGAACATGATCCTTGATTGGCTGTGTTAATGCACTGAAGAAGAAAGAAGATGAAAATAAAAATGGTGCCAAAACACTAGCTCAAAGGTCTCAACTAATGTAAATGTGTACAAGAATATTTTGTTCAGGGCTATTTTGTCCTTCAAAAAATGTTCCTTCCTGCCCAGAAACTTCCTGTTTCCAAACAAATAAAGCAAGAAACAAGCCGCTCAATTTGATGTCATAGTCAGTTCCAATGAAAAACAATGGAAAACAAAGGGCTGTACAAATAACCAGCTATCGTTAACACTGTTGGACTTTTTATTTCAGATTAGGACTAAAATGAAACAAAACATTTATTGCATTTAAGTGCAATAAAATTGGTTGGTAATCTGCATTCAGCATTGTGGCTGGAATTTAGGCAGTTTTTTCCACAAATTCAAAGTTGCGAACCCTATTTCCCAAAAGATTCAGAACTCTGGTTAGCTCCCAGAAAACCCAGCATGGATTCATTGACCTCAAACAATGGAGCCTTCTGAGATAGTTTACACTGATATGTGTTTCTGGAAGAGTGAGTTTCATGGGGATACATGCAACCTCACCCCTTGTATAGGGGTGAGTTTGCATGTATCCCCATGAAACTCATTCTTCCAGAAACACATATCAGTGTAAACTATCTCAGAAGGCTCCATTCAAGCATCAATGACATGTAAATATGAGCAGATTTTCACATTATTTACTTATTCTTAATCCTTTCAAATGCATTCTGTTATATGGCACAGGAAAGGACCTCTGCTGAGTAACACAAGCACAAAGCACTTTCAGACATAAAACCCAGAAATGTTTGTGTCAGTATGGTTTTGATACTTGATACTTGTACTCTACAATAATAATATTCCAAAAACATATAATAAAGCTTTTATGGTCATAAGATGTACCTCAGATCTTCGTCCCCTGTTGAGATATGCACATACAGGGCTGAATGCCCCACTCCCACACACATATAAATGAGTACGGTTGAAAGTCTGTATGACACGGACAAAATTGCCACAACCATGCTGCAAGAAAAACAAAAACAGATATTAATAAGCCTGAATAAGCAAATGCCATAATAATATTTACTGGTGAACTTCATAATAATAATAATACTAACAACAACAACAACAACAACTGTATTTCTTATCCACCTCTCCTTGTGGCTTGAGGCAGGTTATAACATAGCTAAAACCACATAATTATATAAAACTAGCAGTCCCCTGCCACGCGTTGCTGTGGCCCAGTCTGTTGATCTGGAAAATAAAGTAATGAGAAAGTGTTGGTTTCTAATATATGTAATGTCTTTATGTTTGTGGGTAAACAGTATTTCTTGCTGTTTCTTTGCCAGTGTTGATGTAGAGATTGTCTGGTTTGCCCACGCTGGAACATGCAATATATCGTTGTCATTCTTTAGGGGTCCCTTTCACATCTTTGATACTGCATCTGTCATATACATATATGTGTATGTGTGAATGGCTAGATGGCCCTTTGTCAGGAGGGCTTTGATTATTTTTTTCTTGCCCTGGTGAAGGGAGTTGGACTGGATGGCCTTAAGGAAGCATTTCTCAACCTGGGGTTTGTGACCCCTGGGGGGGGGGTTATTAGGGAGGGTCAGAAAGGTCGCCAATGACCACCAAAAAACGCAGTATTTTCTGTTGGTCTTGAGGGTTCTGTGTGGGAAGTTTGCCCCAATTCTGTCATTGGTGGGGATCAGAATGCTCCTTGATTGTAGGTGAACTATAAATCCCAGTAATTACAACTCCCAAATGTCAAGGTCTATTCCCCCCAAACTCCATATTTGGGCGTATTGAGTATTCGTGCCAAGTTTGGTCCAGATCCATCATTGTTTGAGTCCACAGTGCTCTCTAAATGTAGGTGAACTACAACTCCAAAATTCAAGGTCAATGCCCACCAAACCCTTCTAGTGTTTTCTGTTGGTCATGGGAGTCCTGTGTGCCAAGTTTGGTTCAATTCCATCATTGGTGGAGTTCAGAATGCTCTTTGATTGTAGGTGAACTATAAATCCCAGCAACTACAACTCCCAAATGACAAAATCATAATTTTTTGAGTGATGGTCACTCCTTGTGTTGTGAGATGTTTGTTGCCAAATTTGGTGTGATTTCGTTCATTGGTTCTTTTGTTTTTAAGGTACTCATTATGCATAGAGCATTTAGATCAGGGGTCCCCAAACTGCGGCCCGGGGGCCGGATGCGGCACCCCGAGGACATTTATCCGGCCCGCCGAGGAGGAGGCCTGCGTCTTAGTGAAGTTTTGGCTCTGCTAACGCAGAGCTCCTTTCGTTCTTTCTGTCTCCCGCTCAAGCTCTCTCTCCTCCCCGTTTCAGTCTCTCCCCCTTCCCCCTCTCTTTAACTTTCTCTTTCTCCCTCCTCCTTTCTCTCTTCTCTTTCTCCCTCTTTTTTTCCTCTCCCTTTCTCCTCTTCTTCCCTTACTTCTTCTTTCTCGGAGGAGGTGAAGGCAGCGGTGGGAGCGCGCGGCTGCTGTCTGTAAGAGCGGAGGCAAAAGAATCCCTTGCCTCCACTCTTCCAGAAAAGACACAGCTGCCAATAGGCAACCCCGAAGCCTCCCCTCACCATCCAGCCCTCCCTCCTTCCTTCCTTCCACCTCTACCTGAACGCAGGGCTCAAGGAGCCCCTGCAAAGCCCACCCCCTCCCAGCTAAACAGGAAGGGGAGAGTGGGGGCGGCAGAAACGCCAGCCTCCTGGAGGAAAGACGTCTCCTCAAACCTGTGGTAACGTTTCTTCCCTTCTTTGTCCTCTGCTTCTCTTCGGCAAATCCAGGCTCCTGCTGTGAAAGCAGCCCGTAGTTAGGCTGTTAGGAATTGAGGGAATTGAAGTCCAAAACACAAGGAGGGCCCAAGTTGGCCCATGCCTGCTTTAAGAAATACCAATGATATTTAATTCTGTTGTTGTGTTTCATATATTTGTAGATTTGAAATTTCATTGAAATGTAAGCTGCTTTGACCCCTTCCACACAGCTGTATAAAATCCACACTGAACTGGTTTATATGGCAGTGTGGACTCTGATAATGCAGTTCAAAGCAGATATTGAGGATTATCTGCCTTGACATTCTGGGTTATATGGCTGTTTGGAAGGGCCCTTTGAGGGCCCTTCAAGACAGGTCATATATCCCAGGATCTGATCCTAGGTTTTCTCTTTATCCCAGATTATCTGGCAGTGCAGACTTATATAATCCAGTTTAAAGAAGAAAACCTGGGATCAGATCCTGGGATATAGGGCCTGTCTGGAAGGGCCCACAGTCTCCTTGTGGAGACAAAAAGTGGTGTATAAATAAACATAATAAACATAATAATAATAATAATAATAATAATAATAATAATAATAATGCCCTCCTCTTGTGATCTCCTGCTTTGGTCAGAGCTTCCCACCTGGAATCACACTCTGAAACCAAATTGGAGAACAAAAATCTGTTCCTGGCTTGAAAGTGTTATTTCCTGTTTAATTGTGTGGCCCTTACTTTGAATGTAGTTGTTCTCCTCCAGATACTTTGTTTGTGTGGCTGCCACAAACTATGATGAATCTAATTGTCATGGGTGTTCTGTATGCCAAGTTTGGTTGAATCCCATTGTTGGGGAATTCAGAATGCTCTTTGATTGCAGGAGTGACTGCAACGTCCACATGTTTGAGTGTATTTTAATCAAACCTCTCCAGTATTTTCTGTTGGTCATGGGAGTTTGGCTGATAGGCAGATCAGTAAACATATTAATGGGTCCCCTGTTGTTATATTAAGACTGTTACTCTTGCTACGACATGCTTGACGTCAAAATTTCATTTATTTGTAATTAGAAATAAATATTTCACAATATATAATTACATATTCTTTTTGTGATTAATCACAATGCTTTATGTTCAGTTTGTAACAATGAAAATACATCCTGCATATCAGATATTTACATTATGATTCATAACAGTAGCAAAATAAGGTATGTGCAGTGTGCATAGGAATTTAATCATGGTTTTATATATATATATATATATATATATATATATATATATATATATAGTCTGGCCCTCCAACGGTCTGAGGGACAGTGAACTGCCCCCCTGTTAAAAAAGTTTGAGGACCCCTGATTTAGATAGATAGATAGATAGATAGATAGATAGATAGATAGATAGATAGACAGACAGACAGACAGGCATATTAAAACATATTTATACAAACAGGTAGATTAAAATACACATAACAATGATTAAAGTATCTAAAGTTTAAAATTCATGATTAAAACTGGCTGGTTAGGTTTACAGGAAGAGATGGGTCTTTAATTGTGTCTTAAATTCCAACAGCTGATTTAGCTGTTGGATTTCTTCCAGCAGGTAATTCCAGTCTTGAGGCAGCTGATGAAAAGGTTCTCTGGGTGAGGGTGCCAGTTGGTTGTGGCTGGGTGGAGTAGTGTCCCCCACTTCCACCCCCAGATTTAAGTGTTCCAGGCAGATTGTATGAGAGAAGGCAATTCTGTAGGTAACCTGGACCCAAACCATGTAGGGCAGTGGTTCTCAACCTGGGGTCCCCAGATGTTTTTGGCCTTCAACTCCCAGAAATCCTAACAGCTGGTAAACTGGCTGGGATTTCTGGGAGTTGTAGGCCAAAAACATCTGGGGACCCCAGGTTGAGAACCACTGATGTAGGGCTTTAAAGGTCAAAAACAACACTTTGTACTTTGCCTGGAAACTAATTAGCAGCCAGTTGAGTGATTTTAGAATGGGTGTAATATGCTCACTCCTGGATGTTCCTGTAACCAGTCTTGCTGCCATATTTTGAACCAACTGGAGTTTCTAAACTTGATACAAAGATATAAAGCACACGGCAGAAGTCCAACCTTGAGGTTACCAGTGCATTGCTAAAGTTCTTCAAATCTAGAAAGGGGTGCAGTTGCCGTATCAGCTGAAGCTGGTAGTAAGTATCATAGAATCATAGAATCAAAGAGTTAGAAGAGACCTCATGGGCCATCCAGTCCAACCCCCTGCCAAGAAGTAGAAACATTGCATTCAAATCACCCCTGACAGATGGCCATCCAGCCTCTGTTTAAAAGCTTCCAAAGAAGGAGCCTCCACCACACTACGGGGCAGAGAGTTCCACTGCTGAACGGCTCTCACAGTCAGGAAGTTCTTCCTCATGTTCAGATGGAATCTCCTCTCTTGTAGTTTGAAGCCATTGTTCCACGTCCTAGTCTCCAAGGAAGCAGAAAACAAGCTTGCTCCCTCCTCCCTGTGGCTTCCTCTCACATATTTATACATGGCTATCATATCTCCTCTCATCCTTCTCTTCTTCAAGCTAAACATGCCCAGCTCCTTAAGCCGCTCCTCATAGGGCTTGTTCTCCAGACCCTTGATCATTTTAGTCGCCCTCCTCTGGACACATTCCAGTTTGTCGATATCTCTCTTGAATTGTGGTGCCCAGAATTGGACACAATATTCCAGGTGTGGTCTAACCAAAGCGGAATAGAGGGGTAGATTACTTCCCTAGATCTAGACTCTATGCTCCTATTGATGCAGGCCAAAATCCCATTGGCTTTTTTTGCCGCCACATCACATTGTTGGCTCATGTTTAACTTGTTGTCCACGAGGACTCCAAGATCTTTTTCACACGTACTGCTCTCGAGCCAGGTCCCCATTCTGTATCTTTGCATTTCGTTTTTCCTGCCAAAGTGGAGTATCTTGCATTTGTCACTGTTGAACTTCATTTTGTTAGTTTTGGCCCATCTCTCTAATCTGTCAAGATCGTTTTGAATCCTGCTCCTGTCCTCTGGAGTATTGGCTATCCCTCCCAATTTGGTGTCATCTGCAAACTTGATGATCCTGCCTTCTAACCCTTCATCTAAGTCATTAATAAAGATGTTGAACAGGACCGGGCCCAGGACGGAACCCTGCGGCACTCCACTCGTCACTTCTTTCCAGGATGAAGAGGAAGCATTGGTGAGCACCCTCTGGGTTCGTCCATTTAACCAATTACAGATCCACCTCACCGTAGCTTTCCCTAGCCCATGGTGAGGTGGATCTGTAATTGGTAGTCCTGACCGTTGCATCTACCTGGCTGACATTTGGAGAGATGGATCCAGGAACATGCCCAAGCTTCGAACGATCTTTGAGGGGTGTGTAACCCCATCTAAAACAGGTTGCCATACCTCCATCACCAGATTAGGGCCTCTTGCCTGCAAAATCTAGAGCTGAAACAAAATTCTTCCAAGCCATCTGTTTGGAAGCAGGGCATTCTTTCGGTATATGCTTTACTGGTTATTCGTTTTCTTTATAGTATTTTCCTTTTTAAAAAAATCAAATGTTAAGGCTGTATTTCTTTTATTTATTATTTATCTATTTACAACATTTTACCCTTTACAAACTACCAGGATCAAAGAAAAGTGAGGAGGAGATCAATTTAGAAACAAATCCCACATATTCCAGGTTACTGCATCTTAGATATCATTAAGAATTCAGGGATGGACAATTTGGCCAACCTATAAAAAACTTTTAATAAACGACTCAATGATAAGTGTCCGGTCCTGTTCAACATCTTTATTAATGACTTAGATGAAGGGCTAGAAGGCATGATCATCAAGTTTGCAGATGACACCAAACTGGGAGGGATAGCCAATACTCCAGAGGACAGGAGCAGGATTCAAAATGATCTTGACAGATTAGAGAGATGGGCCAAAACTAACAAAATGAAGTTCAACAGTGACAAATGCAAGATACTCCACTTTGGCAGAAAAAACGAAATGCAAAGATACAGAATGGGGGGACAATGCCTGGCTCGAGAGCAGTACGTGTGAAAAAGATCTTGGAGTCCTCGTGGACAACAAGTTAAACATGAGCCAACAATGTGATGTGGCGGCAAAAAAAGCCAATGGGATTTTGGCCTGCATCAAGAGGAGCATAGTGTCTAGATCTAAGGAAGTAATCCTACCCCTCTATTCTGCTTTGGTTAGACCACATCTGGAATATTGTGTCCAATTCTGGGCACCACAATTCAAGAGAGATATTGACAAGCTGGAATGTGTCCAGAGGGCGACTAAAATGATCAAGGGTCTGGAGAACAAGCCCTATGAGGAGCGGCTTAAGGAGCTGGGCATGTTTAGCCTGAAGAAGAGAAGGCTGAGAGGAGATATGATAGCTATGTATAAATAGGTGAGAGGAAGCCACAGGGAGGAGGGAGCAAGCTTGTTTTCTGCTTCCTTGGAGACTAGGACGGAACAATGGCTTCAAACTACAAGAGAGGAGATTCCATCTGAACATGAGGAAGAACTTCCTGACTGTGAGAGCGATTCAGCAGTGGAACTCTCTGCCCCGGAGTGTGGTGGAGGCTCCTTCTTTGGAAGCTTTTAAACAGAGGCTGGATGGCCATCTGTCAGGGGTGATTTGAATGCAATATTCCTGCTTCTTGGCAGGGGTTGGACTGGATGGCCCAAGAGGTCTCTTCCAACTCTTCGATTCTATGATTCTAAGTTGTCTGAATGGAATTGAAATCTCAAGCAGAAATAAATCAAAGCTTTCCAAAGATTACGTGGCTGAGCTATTTACAAATAAAGGAACAATATAACCAAGATAAAAAGCTGGGACTTCAAATTAAGGAAGTATTCTGGGATAAATTCCTAAAAACTGAAACAAAGTGCATCACAAAATTATATGAAAAATTATTAGAATGGTCAACGGAGACCGAATTAATAAAAGGCTGCATGGTGAAGTGGGCAGAAAACTTTAAAAGACCTATAGCAATGTGTGACTGGGAAATAATGTGGAAGAAAAAAATTAAGTACACCTATGCAATGGATTTAAAGGAGAACTGGATGAAAATGTTTCATAGGTGGTACATGACCCCAGTTAAACTAAATCATATGTATAAGGATGTATCAAAAGCTTGCTGGAAATGCAATGAGCACGAAGGCAGCTTTTTTCATCTATGGTGGAGCTGTGTAGTATCTCAGAAGTACTGGAAAGATATTCATGAAGAAATGCAGAAAATACTCAACAGAAAAATTCCAAGAAAAGCAGAATACTACCTATTGGGAATTGTAGACGCCGATATAAAATTAGATTCGAATGAGGATATTCTGTTCACGTATATGACAACAGCCGCTAGAATTGTCTTTGCGAAACTTTGGAAGCAGAAAGAAATACCAGATAAACTCCTCTGGATAAATAAGGTGAATGAAATTAAGGACATGGATAAGTTAACTTTTTTTTATTAAAAAAGAATACAGGCAATCCAACCAAACAGACTAACTGGTCAATAATTGATGATTATATTGAAATTAATTATAAGGATTTATAACCGTACTGTAGATACAATGATGATGTAAATTGGATTAAATATAAGATATGGATTAAAAGAAGAGACTGAACGAGCAGAATCAGAAGGAAGTCTAACTTTTTGTTTTTTGGACTTTTTGATTTTCTTTTTACTTTGGGATTTTTTTATCTATTTTTTTTCTTTTTTCTTCTCTTCCTCCTTTTTTCTTTTTCACGGGTGTTATTGCTGTCTTTTTAATTTTCCTACTTTTCTATCTTCTCGAATTATTTCCCCCACTTTCGCTGTAATCTATAAAACTCAATAAAATTTATATATATATATATATATATATATATATATATATATATATATATATAAAGAATTCATCACCAAAATTGGCCCCTTCTTACCTTTAAACTGATTACACTAAATGACATGTAACAAATTTAAAAATGTAAGAAAACAATGTTTTGCATAGTAAGGGACAATACTGATCTGTAGTAGGCATGATATATTACACTGCTGAAGTTGCCTGTGAAAAGAAGCTAACACCATGCTACCATTTTTAATCTAAATTAATTAAACAAAAACCACTGTAATTCATTACTGGTGACTTCTTAATAAAAACACTACGCTCTTATGCTTTGCAAGTGCAGTATTTTCTTCCCTTGAGAAAGTTTGATAAAAAATATGAGGAGATTGCCAAGGTATTTAATATTTGCACTCCTCTTAATTACATATCCATACCCAAATGAATTCTTCTTATAGTATAACACAATACCACCAGTATTTAATTAAGATTAGATGCAGTTTACCTTATTCAAATATTGGCAAACCAAGATAACAGGATTAGGCCTTTCCCCTCAAAGCAGAGCCATGGGAGAAAAGGTGAAATCATTCGTTATTGCTCTTATTTCTAAGATAATTTCCTAACCGTTTTTCCACAAAGTGCCCAAGGTGATGCTGAATGTATTCGAATCATAACAATTAAACAAGTGATTGGTTTGTTTGACCAAGAATCACTTTGAGGCTTAGATTTTAGTAGGTAATTGGATCAACAGATGTTTTCTTTGTAGGGCTTTGGTTTCACCTTCAATAATTGCTGTGCCTCATTTACCTGCTTTAAGGAAGTTCTGCTCTTTTTCAGGCATCTGTTTAAAATGTGGCTTTATTGAACCAATAAAAGACACTTTATGATCAAGCAGTAAGTGCTGTTGGAATGTATGGGATTATTTTTCCATACAAAAGGCAGCATATACCGTCTGGGATTGTGTCCAGACCCTTCTATTAGCATGAGCTCAGCAGTCTGCTATATATTCTCTAGGAAATATACCGACCAAGTGTTATTAATGATATCCATCACCAGCAACAAGGTAATAAAAAATAGGTTTTGTTATGCACATTTTTTTAAAAAAAGATAAAATTTCCTGAACATAAGCAATGTTCTCATTTTTCCAGACAGTGCTAAAGGGGCCTAGGCTGTGTAAATATCTTGTTTGTTTCAGAAATTTTGTAGGATTGTTCAGCTAGCCCGGCACTAGAAGAAAAATACACTTCTTCCACATTGCTTTTGGCTGCACCCGAGGTGCTCTGTCTCCGTGGCCAAATATTTAATTAGAAGGAAAAATAAAATACTTACTGTAGGATCCTTTCCAGCCATTTTGCACTCGTCAACTTTGGTTGTTGATGCTGGCCAGAAGATCTGTGTAGAAAGGGGAAAAATATAGTTTAAATGGATTATATGATATTGAATGCACAGACGCCGGATGGAGTGGCAGGAATGGTTATTTCCGTCTTGTTTCAGCTATTACAATGCCATCTGGGAGAATCTAAATTTGCAATAGAAATAGTTTTTGCAGCGTCTATTTTGTTAGCAAAAGTTTTTCTCAACAAGGAAACCAATCCAGGAAGGGAGCTTCCACCTAATATGCTGGCATGGGGGTTATTTTTTAAAAAGCATACCCCAGATATATAATTGAAACACGACGATTCTAAACGCTGATATTGTTAAAAATGGCACTTTAAATGGCTGTATTTGTCAATTTGGGGTTGCCTCTGAAGACTGCCCGGAAGCTCCAACTTGTCCAACCAGAATACTAACACAAGCAGGGTACAGGGAGCATACTACTCCTCTGTTGCACCAGCTCCACTGGCTGCCAATTAGCTTCCGAGCACAATTCAAAGTGCTGGTGTTAACCTATAAAGCCCTAAATGACTCTGGCCCAACATACCTGTCCGAACGTATTCTCCCCTATGAACCATCTAGATCAGGGGTCCTCAAACTAAGGCCCGGGGGCCGGATGCGGCCCTCCAAGGTCATTTACCCGGCCCTCGCTCATGGTCAACCTAAGTCTGAAACGACTTGAAAGCACACAACAGCAACAACAATCCTCTCTCATCAGCCAAAAGCAGGTCCACACTTCCCACTGAAATACTAATAAGTTTATATTTGGTAAAACTGTTCTTCATTTTAATTATTATATTGTTTTTAAGTGATTTTTGCAGTACAAATAAAATATGTGCAGTGTGCAAAGAAATTAATTCATTTTTTTTCAAGTTACACTCCTGCCCTCCAACAGTTTGAGGGCCCTCTGTTTAAAAAGTTTGTGGACCCCTGATCTAGATTGTTAAGATTGTCTGGAGGGGCTCTGCTCTCGGTCCCACCAGCCTCACAAGCGTGTCTAGTGGGGATGAGGGACAGGGCCTTCTCGGTAGTGGCCCCTCGGCTCTAGAACTCTCTCCCACTAGAGATCAGAGCTTCCCCCTCTATCTTGACGTTCAGAAAACAGGTGAAAACTTGGCTCTGGACATTGGCATTCGACGAGTGAGTCAATATTCTGTGACATGGATGGATGATGACGAATGACGAACAACGATTTTATTGTGACGACTGACCATTGTAATTATTTGACTGCATTGCTATTTTAATGTTTTAGCTTAATATGTAATATCATGTTTTTAATGACTGTGATATTACTGTTGGAAACTGGCCTGAGTCCCTCGACAGAGGTGAGAAGACCGGTATACAAAACTGCTAAATCAATTTATGATTGGAGCATGCCCTTGCAAACTGGACCAATAATACACTCTAGTAGAGCTCCAATCCTAACTGTTATCCTTATGATTCTAGATTGCTATATTAAGGATTCTCCTCATGTCATCACAGGAACTCTTCACAAACTCACCTGAAAGAAAAGTGCTGTTAAATGGTGGAAGCAGTTGATACTGTTAGATAGAAAGGCACAGAATTTCTAGTCATTGAATATATGGAATATTAATAGCAGCTCAGTAATGATTGTGAATGCCATGATGCAATACCTAAGAGAATGTGGTAATGACTGAGTCATAACCATGTAAAATGTATTGCAAAGGGGTTGCATCAGCCAATGTCCCTTATGATGATTATTTTATTTACCTCATTTGTATACCTCTCTTCTAAGCCCTCAGGCGACTCAAAGCGGTTAACAACAGCAAAATTCAATGCAAAAACATCACAAAACAAATACGGACAGTTAAAAACAGTAGCATCATCAACAATTAAACATCAATATAACAATCATTAGCATCTCATCAGTAAAATCAGAATCCAATCTCATCATCCATTATTCCGTATTCCTATATTCAATTACACTGTTTAATCGAATGCTTGTTCAAACAGCCAGGTCTTCACTTTCCTCCGAAATGCCAACAGGGTGGGGGCCGATCTGATATCTGTAGGAAGGGCGTTCCACAGCCGAGGGGCCACCACTGGGAAGACCCTGTCTCTCGTCCCCGCCAGGCACGCCTGTGATGCAGGCGGGACCGAGAGCAGGGCCTCCCCAGATGATCTTAATGTCCTAGTTGGTTCATAGGAGGAGATGCGTTCGTAGAGGTAAGTAGGGCCAGAACTGTTTAGGTCTTTATAGGCTAACGCCAACACTTTGAATTGTGCCCAGTAGCAAACTGGCAGCCAGTGGAGCTGGTGCAACAGAGGAGTTGTATGCTTCCTGAGTGCCGCTCCTGTTAGCAACCTGGCTGCCGAACGCTGGACCATTTGAAGCTTCTGAGCAGTCTTCAAAGGCAACCCCATGTAGAGAGCGTTGCAGTAGTCTATACAGGATGTAACCATAGCATGGACTACCGTGGCCAAGTCAGACTTCCCAAGGTACGGGCACAGCTGGCACACAAGTTTTAACTGTGCGAATGCTCCCCTGGTCACCGCTGAAACTTGAGGTTCCAGGCTCAGCGATGAGTCCAAGATCACACCCAAGCTGCGAACCTGCGTCTTCAGGGGGAGTGTAACCCCATCCAACACAGGCTGTAACCCTATGCCGTTTGGCCTTGCAACTGACCAGGAGTACCTCTGTCTTGTCTGGATTCAATTTCATTTTGTTCACCCTCATCCAGACCGTTACAGCGGCCAAGCACCGGTTCAGGACCTGAACAGCCTCCTTAGTAGCAGGTGGAAAGGAGTGACAGAGTTGGACATCATCCGCGTACAGATGACATCGTACCCTGAAACTCCGGATGATTTCCCCCAGCGGCTTCATGTAGATGTTAAACAACATGGGAGACAATATTGATCTATCAGCAGGTGGCTCAGTGAGTCTCCTGAGTGACTCATTGTGAATATCTGTCTATGCTGTATGTGACTATCTGATAATCTGATCATTTGTAAGTACAAGCCTGAAAGTGGATCTGTGTATCCTGGTTGTACATTTGTACATATTGCAATAATGAATATTAAAGCCTCCATATATTTTGGATGAAAACCTGAATCCACAAGTTTACTAAACAGTGTTTAGATAAGGTCAGATCGTTGCAGTTGGACTTTGCTGATAGATGGGCTGAAGCATGTGTTAGTGTTCCCGTTGACATCAAAAATGTCTGGAAGTGATTTTACAGAAGACCTTTTCATGGTTAGTGTTGGAATCTTCAGAATCTACTTAGAATGGAGGTTTGGGGTGCTATCAGACAAAAGACCTTGCCCCATATCCACATGAACCTAACTACTGTTGCCATAGAGGCCCTCTGAAAAACGTAATAGTCTCTGTTCTTTTCATCAAACAATGTAATGGTGCACCCAGCCAATGCGGCAAAGATTAGGATTTGTGTGTGTGTGTGTGTGTGTCAGGAGCCACTTGAGAAAGTGCAAGTTGCTTTTGGTGTGAGAGAATTGGCCGTCTACAAGGATGTTGTCCAGATGCTTTTGATGTTTTACCATCCTTGTGGGAGGCTTCTCTCATGTCCCCGCATGGGAAGCTGGAGCTGACAGAGGGAGCTCATTCATGTTCTCCCCAGATTTGAACCTTCACTCCTGCCAGCACATTGCACCACCAGGGGTTCCATTAGGAAAATATGAGTTGGACTATTTATTTCCTACTACTTTCCTATTTGTACAAAACAGATGTCAGAGTAATAGAAAATCATGGACCTCCCTTTTGATGGCCTAACCCTTCTTGGGAAAATTGACCTCCCAGTTTGAAAATTTCTGAAATGTATGAAGCTGACCTCTGACCTTTGGACTGTTGCAAATTGAACTGAAATCCACAATCTGACTATTTTTTTAGAAGATCTCCCCCACTCATTGTTTTTGTTCATTTCATTAAAAGTCTGTTGGAAGTATTAACATCTTATCAAGAAGGTTGGGGTCAAAGGAGTTCTTTTTGGATGCCAAATCTGAAATGCAGGATGTTTCAGAAGAAAATATGCTGTTCAGCTTCCAGCTGAAGTTCGCCCAAGAGGTTTAGATAGTATCTAGATAAACATCTCAGCTTCAGAAGAATCCTCATTAAGTACACACCCAGATTCAGAACAATGTGTAACTCATTTCTAGCAGTCTCCATTTTAAACAAGTAGTGGAGAAATATATTTTCAAGTTGCTATAAAGTCAAATTGGCCCCTTATACCCCTAAGAAAGCTTGTGTGCAATACGTAACCTGTAAAACAATGAATACATTCTAAAAATATGTCTTAAAGTTTGATAACTTAGGATTACTATCATGCTTTCTGACAGTTCAGTGTGCTTCGCATACATCAGTCTTTAGTCTTTCCCCTCTCAGTCAGTTTAGTGAGCAGTGAACTGGCTCATGTCAGCCAGTGTGCTCAAAGACTGACATAGGTGTAAATACCTCCCAACCTCACAATGTTCTTGTCATTTACGCTATGGGTCCCTTTCACATTTATGACAGCATGCCAAAGTAACATCAGGGTCCAAGACTATCCTCCTCTCCTCCTCATTATTCCCAAAATGAATGTTTACCTTCTTCTTTATATCCTAATCTATCTAAATGCTGAAATTGTGCTAAGTATAAAAATGATAAAAAAGAAACAGGAGTAGTGTGGGAACATGGGATTATGATAGGCCGGAGGTTTAGCAGGGCTGGAGGTTTAGCACAGCTGATAAATCATCAGCAACTATAAGATCAACCGAAAGGTTGCAAGTTCAAAGCCCCGGGTCGGTGTGAGCAGCCGACTGTCAGCCCTGCTCACTGTTTACCTAAGCCTGGGATCCTCAAACTTTTTAAACAGAGGGCCAGGCCACAATCTCTCAAACTGTTGGAGGGCCCGATTATAATTTGAAAAAAACATGAATGAATTTCCTATGCACATTGCACATACTTTATTCGTAGTGCAAAAAACACATAAAACCAGTACAGTAATTAAAATAAAGAACAATTTTAACAAATATAAACTTATTAGTATTTCAGTGGGAAGAGAGGGCCTGCTTTTGGCTGATGAGATAGGATTGTTGTTGTTGTTGTGTGCTTTCAAGTCATTTCAGACTTAGGTTGACCCTGAGCGAGGGCCGGGTAAATGACCTTGAAGGGCCATATCTGGCCCTCGGGCCTTAGTTTGAGGACCCCTGACCTAAGCAGTTCGAAAACAGCTTTAGCTGTGATTAGAGAAATTAGGTACCGCTAAAAGCAGGGGAGGTGTTTTACAACACCATAAAGAAAGAAGATCAGAAAATGTTGGCTGACCAAAAGGAAAGAGGAAGTCCTGATGGTTCTTCGTCATAGAGGATGGAGCGACAGCACCCTCTGTGGCTGGACTTGAGCCCAACCTTCCATGGCATCAAAACAACACACCTCCTTTCTGTTTTGTCTGTCTGTGTACTGTGTATAAAAAGTGGCATTGAAATTTTGCCGTGTATATGTACTGTGATTCGCCCTGAGTCCCCTTTGGGGTGAGAAGGGTGGAATAATAATAATAATAATAATAATAATAATAATAATAATTATTATTATTATTATTATTATTATGGTGCGAAGAAATACAATAGTAGGACCACGAATTGTTGAATCAGACTAATTGTACTAATAAAGAGAGGTGTGATATCAAAGGTGTTCAACCCAGTATGTATGTAGGTAAGGTAAAGGTAAAGGTAGTCCCCTGACATTAAGTCCAGTCATGTCTGACTCTGGGGTGTGGTGCTCATCTCCATTTCTAAGCTGAAGAGCCAGCGTTGTCCGAAGACACCTCCAAGGTCATGTGGCCGGCATGACTGCATGGAGCGCCGTTACCTTCCCACCGGAGTGGTACCTATTGATCTACTCACATTTGCATGTTTTCGAACTGCTAGGTTGGCAGAAGCTAGGGCTGACAGCGGAAGCTCGCGCCGCTCCCCGGAATCGAACCTGCGACCTTTCGATCAACAAGCTCAGCAGCTCAGTGCTTTAACCCACTGTGCCACCGGGGGCTCACAGTATGTATGTACCCACTATCAATTTTAAAGTGATTGCAGTGGGATAGTGAGTTCATGCAATAAAAGTATCTACACTGAAAACTGTATATTGCTTGAACACATGGTTTTGCTAATATTACCTAAAAACCCGAAACTGATTAGTGAAATACGGACCTGAAATAAACAGACTATTTCATTGACTGAAAAAACATGCAGTGAAACCATTCTAGTTGATTCCCAAATCACTTTGTAAACTTACACTCAGAGGCTCCTGGCTTATATTATTGATATTCAAAGAGAGAATGTGATCTTTGCTGCCAACATAGATCTGGTCCTGATCTTCATCCATCACTAATATCCTGTAGTCTAAGGGGTGATGGGAAAGAGCATAAAACTGAGAGGTCTTGGTTTCCTGCAGTTCTGGAAGAGAAAAAAAGAAACCACAGATTAATTTTCTTTCCTTGGTTGAACAACCACATTTTGGTAAAAGATGTATGCCACCAATAAAACTGCCAAGATTTAACAGGACCATCCCCTATTTAAGCATGAATGAAATAGTTTTCCTGTCAAAAACTGAGTGCATTGCTATTATACGTTAGTAACCAACCACCATCATAAAGCATCTAGAATCACTTTATCAATTCCTCCAAAGAACGTTGTTGGCTTAATGAAAATTATTATTTACATCTGTGTTTTTTCAAGCACATCATATATTAAAATAATCAATGAGAACATACTACGGTAATGCTGGCCAAGATAATTTCTTTTTTTAAAAAAAAATAGGGAAATACATTTCATTTGGCATTGCTAAGATGTGAATTAGCTAGAAATGATGATAGTTTTTCCCAATTATATCACAGAGTAATTATTCTAATTCTCTAAACTGATTTTAATGATTAATTAATTTATAATAGCGTTTTGCTTGCAAATCCTTTATTCTGGGAAAATAGATTGTTTTTTTAAAATGGTTGCTCTGGCATAATGGCTATCCAATTACTTTGGAACTATGTTCTGATGCTCTAACATTAGGATGTATCAGTTAGTGTTATTAATATTGCTAGAGAACAGAATACTGCCACTTGATATAGTATGGCAATTTAGAGGAGGAACCAAAGTGCTCTATATAATGGAAATATGAAGGAGATTGGACTCAGAAATACCCTACAGCAGTGTTTCTCAACCTGGGGGTCGGGACCCCTGAGGGGGTCACGAGGGGGTGTCGGAGGGGTCGCCAAGGACTATCAGAAAACAGTATTTTCTGTTGGTCATGGGGGTTCTGTGTGGGAAGTTTGGTCCAATTCTATCGTTGGTGGGGTTCAGAATGTTCTCTGGTTGTAGGTGAACTATAAATCCCAGCAACTACAACTCCCAAATGTCAAGGTCTATTTTCCCCAAACTCTACCAGTGTTCACATTTGGGCATATTGAGGATTCGTGCCAAGGTTGGTCCAGATCCATCATTGTTTGAGTCCACAGTGCTCTCCAGATATAGATGAACTACAACTCCCAAACTCAAGGTCAATGCCCACCAAACCCTTCTAGTATTTTCTGTTGGTCACAGGAGTTCTGTGTGCCACGTTTAGTTTAATTCCATCGCTGATGGAGTTCAGAATGCTCTTTGATTGTAGGTGAACTATAAATCACAGCAACTACAACTCCCAAATGAGAAAATCAATTCCTCCCCCCCCCCCCTAACCTCACCAGTATTAAAATTTGGGTGTATTGGATATTTGTGCCAAATTTGGCCCAGTGAATGAAAATACATCTTGCATATCAGATATTTACATTATGATTCATAACAGTAGCAAAATTGCTGTAATGAAGTAGTAACGGAAAAAAACTTTATGGTTGGGGGTCACCACACCATGAGGAACTGTGTTAAGGGGTCACGGCATTCGGAAGGTTGAGAAACACTGCCCTACAGCAACAGCACACTGGAGAAAAGAAATATCCCCACTGTACCATGTTTGCCATCCCAGAGTAGATAGGTTTCCTGTTGCCTCTCTTCATACATATAGCTCCTAAGTATCCCCTCAACAGAGCGGAGCTAAGCAAGCATCAGGGTTCACTAGGGAGCTGACTGTGGTGAAACGAATGGGATAGAGACCAGAACTGGTCGAACTGGGAGGGTTTGACCAAGTATGCACTAGAGTTTATTAGAACGTCTACGCCATGGTAGTACTGGCAGCAAAGAAATCTTTCTTCCCTATGTATTTATTTATTTACTATATTTCTATACTGCCCTTCTCAGCCCGAAGGTGACTCAGAGTGGTTTACAAAACCGGCACAATTCGATGCCACAATAATATGAGGGGTATTTTTAAGTAAGGTCCATTTGAACGTAAGTACACAATGAAAATTTATTTCAAAAAAATAAATTTACATTCAGAAAGTACATACTTCATTCTATTTTTCGACATAGTTGCCAAGTTTGTTCAAACACTTATCATACTTCTGAACCAATTTTAAAATACCCTCTTCATAAAAACTTGCCGCCTGCTCCGATAACCAAGAGTTCACTGTAATCAAAGAAGGGGGACCGGAGCGGTCCTCATCATGGACGTTGTCACGGCCATCTTTGAATTGTCGTACCCACTTACGCACTTTGCTTTCACTCATAACAGTATCACTGTACACTTCACAGATCTGTCAATGAATTTCTGCAGCAGGCAGGTTCCTTGCTGACAAAAACCGTATCACTGAGTGAACCTCACATGCGGAGGGTGAGTTGATAGTCTTAAACATTTTTAAAGCACAGAACAGAACCGTACAGGTTAGCTAAGGAGGGGAAACTGAACACAGTTGTTCCCGAGGCATGCCGGTACACGACGCACAAGCTCGTTGCTGTATGCGCACGAACTACTAGTGTCTTACAACAAAACGGACCTTACTTAAAAAATACCCCTCGTATAAACAGTTAAAAGCATATGAACATCCTTAAAATTCCACAAAAAAATAAAATCAATAAGACATCAAACATAAATCCTCCGTATCTAATTTCCAGAATCTTTATCCGATTGCAATTGTCCAGCCGTTCCGAGGTCAAGTAATTATTTACTACATTGCATTTGAGAAAGCCTGCTCACAAAGCCAGGTTTTGACTTTTTTTCAGAATTTTAGGAGAGTGGGAGCCGATCTAATATCTCTGGGGAGGGCACTCCATAGCCGAGGGGCCACCACTGAAAAGGCCCTATCTCTCGTCCCCGCTAACTGAACCTGTGAAGAAGGCGGGACAGAGAGCAGGGCCTCTCCAGAAGATCTTAAATTCCTGGATGGTTCATAAGGAGAGATACGTTTGGACAGATAAGCACCTACCACCTTTGCATCCTAACAGTGTCATCCATTAGAGCAATGTTAAGTGATTAGGTGCTTTTTACACTGTGTATCTCAAGAGTAGCATGTAAACTGCTCACAGTCCACTGTGAAGAATTTGCACAGAAATTTGCAGATGAAATCATTTGGATCCACTGAGCTGTTTACTACTGATACAGCTCTGCTGCATATAATCTTGAGCACAATTTATACAATCTGATTCTATGATTCGATAGAACCAGGGACAAGATCCTTGGAAAGGTGAGGCCCACCATGTGTGCACTGGACTTTTGCCATTCCTAGGACTTGGGTTGTACTGGTCCATTTAGTTTTCTTGGCAAGGATACTGGAGTGGTTTGCCATTGCCTTCCCCAGGGATCACGCTTGGTCTGACCTCTCTGCCACAACCGTCCCGTCTTGGGTGGCCCTTCACGGCTTCGCTCATGACATCATTGAGGTGCTCAAGCTCCAGCGCCCCGACAAGGCGGTGATCCTTTGCTGGAGTAGAGTAGAGACATCAGACTGACAACAAAGATCCGCCTAGTCAAAGCCATGGTATTCCCTGTAGTCACCTACGGATGTGAGAGCTGGACCTTAGGGAAGGCTGAGCGAAGGAAGATCGATGCTTTTGAGCTGTGGTGTTGGAGGAAAGTTCTGAGACTGCCTTGGACTGCGAGAAGATCCAACCAGTCCATCCTCCAGGAAATAAAGCCCGACTGCTCACTGGAGGGAAAGATACTAGAGACAAAGTTGAAGTACTTTGGCCACATCATGAGGAGACAGGAAAGCCTAGAGAAGACAATTATGCTGGGGAAAGTGGAAGGCAAAAGGAAGAGGGGACGACCAAGGGCAAGATGGATGGATGGCATCCTTGAAGTGACTGGACTGACCTTGAGGGAGCTGGGGGTGGTAACGGCCGACAGGGAGCTCTGGCGTGGGCTGGTCCATGAGGTCACGAAGAATCGGAGACGACTGAACGAATGAACAACAACAAAGGACTTGGGTTGTATGGGTAAGGGGAGTAGTGAATGCCTCACTACATCAAGGCAGGTTTCCTCTTGCTTAAAAGGCTACCATGAAACTACTATTGAAAAAAATCCTCCCTGGGCCCTATTATATTGGACAATATCAAATATTCCTTTTGGGGCAAGTTTCAAAAATGTATAAAGCAGAAACAAATAATTATTTATGGAAGTGAAACATACCGTAATTCAATTTAAAACATTTATTTATTATATTTAAAACACAATACACTTCCTCTCATTCCTCTCAAACTAATCCAGACCCTTATCAACTACCCGGTTAAAACCCCTTCCTCTCAATCCAACCCCTTTTCAAACTGCATTCTTGTCAAATCCTAGACTTTCCACTGGACTACCAATTATCATTCACAAGTCAATCCATTCAAACATCCCACTAAGCAACATTAACTTAAGTATTATTTTCTCCTACTTCCGAAAACAACTTCCTACTCTAATATACGAGGGGTATTTTTTAAGTAAGGTCCGTTTTGTTGTAGACACTAGTAGTTCGCGCGCATACCACAACGAGCGCGTGCGTCGTGTACCGGCATGCCTCGGGAACAACTGTGCTCAGTTTCCGCTCTGTAGCTAACCTGTAAGGTTCTGTTCTGTGCTTTAAAAATGTTTAAGACTATCAACTCACCCTCCGCATGTGAGGTTCGCTCAGTGATACGGTTTTTGTCAGCAAGGAACCTGCCTGCTGCAGAAATTCATCGACAGATTTGTGAAGTGTACGGTGATACTGTTATGAGTGAAAGCAAAGTGCGTAAGTGGGTACGACAATTCAAAGATGGCCGTGACAACGTCCATGATGAGGACCGCTCCAGTCGCCTTCTTTGATTACAGTGAACTCTTGGTTATCGGAGCAGGCGGCAAGTTTTTATGAAGAGGGTATTTTAAAATTGGTTCAGAGGTATGATAAGTGTTTGAACAAACTTGGCAACTATGTCGAAAAATAGAGTGAAGTATGTACTTTCTGAAAATAAATTTACTTTTTTGAAATAAACTTTCGTTGTGTGCTTATGTTCAAATGGACCTTACTTTAAAAAATACCCCTCGTACATGCAACAAATCAACCAAGATTTTC